TAGGGACTGTCGCACCCACCTCACCTTCATCCACTTAAGCTATCCACTCCCTGGACTGTTTGTCCTACCTTGGTGCCCTAGTATTCATGGCAGTTTCCTGAGCATCATGGATGGTTCCAAGGTTTCTGCAGTTTTTGCACAGAAACCTATAAAGGTATAGACACCAGGAATGTTTTTGCAAAATCTTTAAAAAACAAAATCTTACTTTTTAGATAAGATGCCTTTTAAACCCCGGCCCCCTGTATTTGTGTGTGTTTTAAAACTTTTTATTCTGCAAATAATTTCAAACTTTTAGAGACGTTTCATACAATTCCCAGCTCTGTCTGCTGAGAGGCTTCAGAAGCAATGGCAGGACGAGGTGGGATGGACAGGAACTTTAGACTGGTGTTAGGCGCTGTAGGGTGCAGCATTGATGAGAACCCAAGCCTCCTGCCTGGTTGCCTCTGACACATACTCCTCCATGGGAGGCCTAGGCTTGGAACTCAGCGGCCATGATGGTGCGTGGCCTCGATGCGGGCAGGGCCTTGGCAGGGCGGGGGCTCAGGCGGAGTGGGGCCTAGGCAGAGGCGGCGCCTGGACAGACATGGGGCTTCAGTAGAGTGAGGCCTCTATGGGGGCGTGGCCTCTATGGGGGTGGAGCCTTGATGGAGGTGGGGCCGCTGTGAGGTGAGGCTTTTGATGTGCAAGGCCAGTGGATGGGCGGGGCTTTGATTGGTCAGGGCTGAGTGGGTGGGGCATTAGTGGGCGGGGCCTCGGCAGGGGCGGGGCGGCTGCTCAGAGACCACCCAGTACTTTTGGTGGCCTCATGGAGTGAAAGGGGTCTTTCCCCAGGTCATTGTACCCCATGAACAGAATTGCCCTAGCCTCCTAACACAGGAGCGGAGGTACAAACCAGGGACGATCTCTGTGCTACCGAGAACATTTTCAAAAATAAAACTGAAAACAAGACAATTGCCAGAATAGATATTTCCTGTGTTTAAAAATAAATGATTTTTGTGAGAGAAAAAATAAAAGTAAATCCCCCAAACACACACATAAAGTCTAGACAAACATACTCTCGACTCTTGCAAATAGACCTCTCAGGGTTGTGGGATTACGGGTGACTGCTTTTTAAAAAAGCCTATTTTCTAACTTTGCCATAATGAAAATGGATTACTTGTGAAAGAAAATGCTTTTATAAAAATAAAAGCTTAAAAAAAAACAACAACCTGGAAAACACGCTCTATAAAACAGTTCTTTGGTGACTTGGGCAGATTGACTTTCAGGAGCTGCTGGTCAAGTCCTGTGTGTGGGTGTGGTGGCTCAGGGTGGGCAGACAGCCAGGCGTGGGAGCCCAGAGCTTTTTCTGGAAACTCGGCCATTTCTCGGCCTCGTTAGTCTCCGCTGCAGATGGCCTCAGTGGTTGAGTGGCGATCCAGTCACTTACAATGTATTTCTCTCTGGATTCCGTCCTCAGGCATCTGAAGGGGTCCCCATGAGGTTTTTCACCAGGCTGGACCAGCTCATTGAGTTCTACAAGAAGGAAAACATGGGCCTGGTGACCCACCTGCAGTACCCGGTACCGCTGGAGGAGGAGGACACTGGTGACGAGCCCGAGGAGGAGACCGGTGAGCGGGGTGCAGAGGGCTTGGCGGGAGGTGCCTTGGGACCCTGCCCTCCAAGGAGCATGGTGGAGAAGTTGGGTGTTTCTCTCACCACAAATGCTCACAGAGTTGTTGTTGGGTGCCGTGGAGTCGGTTCCGACTCATAGCGACCCTGTGTACAACAAAACGAAACACTGCCTGGTTCTGCACCACCCTCACAGTCCATCTCATTGAGGGTCTTTCCCTTTTTCTCCGACCCTCTGCTTGACCAAGCATGATGTCCTTCTCCAGGGACTGGTCCCTCCTGACAACACGTCAAAGCAGTGGGACGAAGTCTGACCATTCTCGCTTCCAAGGAGCATTCTGGCTGCACTTCTTCCAGGACAGATTTGTTCATGATATTTCCAATATTCTTTGCCTAAGGCATTTGACTGCTAACCAGAGGGCTGGCGGTTCAAACCCACCAGCCACTCCTTGGAAGGCAGGTTGGGCAATCTACTTCCGTAGTGATACCGCCTTGGAAACCCAAGGAGGGGTTGCTATGAGTCAAAATTGACTAGACGGCAGTGAAAGCTTGGGCTTGAGAGCTTGCCAGCACTGCTCTTCAAAGGCATCAACACTTCTTCAGTCTTCCTTATTCATTGTCCAGCTTTCACATGCATACGGGGCTATTGGAAATATCATGGCTTGTGTCAGGGGCACTGTAGTCTTCAAAGTAACATCTTTGCTCCTTAACACTTCAAAGAGGTCTTTTGCAGCGGATTTGCCCAGTGCAATACGCCATTTGATTTCTTGACTGCTGCTCCCATGGGTGTTGATTGTGGATACAAGTAAAATGCAATCCCTGACAACTTCAGTCTTTTCTCCATTTATCGTGATGTTGCTTATTGGTCCAGTTGTGAGGATTTTTGCTTTCTTTGTGTTGAGATGTAATCCATACTGAAGGCTGTAGTCGTCAATCTTCATCAGTAGTAGGTGAATTCAATTATCAGAGGAAGAGAATGTAGGATGGTGGTTCAACCTCTAGGGTCAGACAGAATCCCTGGTCTCCAGTGCATTTTGCTGTGTGACCTTGGGTAAGTTACTTAAACTCTCTGAACCATAGCTACCTCCTTAAAGAGACAGTGTGACTAGTATCTGCCTCTCAGGTTGTCAAGGGGATCCAGTGAGTCAATGGCTGTGAAGCACAGAGCTTGGCACAAAGCAAGTGCCTCCTCAGTGCAGCCTCTGCTATCATCATTGTCGGGAGCCAAGTTGGCCAATGAAGAAAGATCCTTACAGCTACGTGGAAGGACACATTCTGAGGATGATTATATTATCATCAAAAGAAAAATAGATAACTCCTAAGAAGTATGTTAGAATCAGGCTTGCCCCAAAGGGTAGGACAAAGAGCGGCAAAGGTGGCGTCTGAGAGAGAATGGAGGAACCGAGTGGGTTATCTGGGTAGTGCCTTTCTCTTTCCCTCAAAGGCTCTTCCTGAAAGAAGGCCTCTAGCGACCTAATAGAGGGGCAGTGGTGGGTCAGTGGTGGAGTTCTCACCTGCCGTGCAGGGGACCCAGGTTCAATACCAGCCAGTGCAGCCCATGCTCAGCCACCAGCCGCCTGTCACTGGAGGCATGTGTGTTCCCAGGTTTCAGCAGAACTTACAGTCTGAGAGTAGGAAGGAAGGCCTGGCAAACTGCTTTTGAAAATCAATCAGCCAATGAAAGCCCTCTGGATCACAACAGTCCCGTTCCATTGTGCTCACTGTGAGTTGGAGGCCACCTTAATGGCCGCTAACAACAAGATGCCTAGTGGAACCCCTCAGCTAGCCACAGATCTCACTGAGTCCCAACATCTGAGGACACCAGGTCCTGCAGGGTCGCACCCAAGAGAGAAGGGATTAGACCAGTGATGTGGGACCCCTGGCCTGGCTGCTGCCTGTCACATGCTGGTGCCCCTTTATCCCACTCTGAAGGGCTGGCTTGTGGGCCATCAGCCCCCCTTGCTTCCTTCCACGTTGGGGTCGTACCTTCCCCAGCCTCCTTGTCAGTGGGAGACTCTGAAGGCAGCCTTGCCAGTGCTGCGGGGAGAAGATGAGGACCAGACCAGGAGCATTTCAGAAAGGACCATGGCTCCACAGAAGGTCAAAGGGACTCAGGCAGGGCCACGTCCCTTCTGCCTCCCGCATCCAAGTAGGAGGTGGACCCAGAAGGTTGGCTGTGGAATCCCAGGTCACTCCTCAGCCTTGGGTCCTGGCTGCATGTACCCCAGCTCCCCAGGTGCAGGGCCCCACCAGGTGGCGGCCCTAAGAAACTGCTGGGAAGTTGTCCTGCAGGAATGCTCTTGGTCCCCTCATGTCCTCACTCCCTTGTGCCCCCAGCCCAGCTTTTTCTGCCCCTCTGGGCCTGGCCGTCTGGTCAAAGACCCTGAGAGGCTTTCTAGAAGGACTGGAAGGACAAGCCCAGTCTCATGACTGTGGCTTCACTTCCCAAAATGTGGCCCAGTGGTCGGCTTGAACCAGCATTGGGCGCCCGCACCCCCAAAGGGGTCTAACGTGACTCAGGTCTCCTCAAGGTGCCTTTAGACCTGGGGGGCTTCAGGACAGAAGAGGAAGTCAAAGAAGCCATGCAGTGGGCATTTGGGCCCCTGAGGTGTGGGAGGGGCTCAGACAGGAGGTTCTAGACCCAGGGGACCACTGGCCAGTGACCCCCACACAGACGTCTGTGGCCCACACAGGATGGAAGTAGTGCTGAAGCAGCCGTGGGCAGGAAGCCCGTCTCCCTGGGCTGAATTCAAGTCATTTGTTGCATGTTTCAGTTCTCCAAGCTGGGGCAACCCCTCACTTCCTGTTATTTGTCTCTGAGGATCTGGGGTGGGGGAGAAAGGGTGGAGGCAGGAGAGCAAGTGCAGAAACGGGGATCAGTGAGAGGGCAAGAGCCGGTGGGCTGCTTGTCGCCTGCCCTCCCACAGGCTCCATCTTTAACCGGACTCTGCCCCGGACACCTTGCACAAGCTCCCTGTCTCAGCCCCTGGCCGGGCCTGTCCTGCTGACCTGCCTGTGGCCCCAGGGCCTCCTCGGAGGGGCCTTGTCCTGGTAGCCCTTTCCTAGATGAAATCTGAGGGTATCAGTCTGGGCCATCCTCGGCCACCTTCTCAGAGGCCAGCCGTAGGCTGCTGGCTGGGCTGATCTGATCCAAACTCAGCATCCCTGAGGCCACCTGGCTCTCTCCCCGGGGACTCCAGCCTGAAGCAGCTGACAAAGATACAGGTGCTGTAAGAGGCCCCAGACCCCCAGATCACTAGGACCAAGTGCCTGCCCTCAGTCTAGTCAGGGAGGGGCGTGGGAGCAGGAAGTGGTGGGAACCTTCGGAGCCATAGGCTCTGAAGGGACCGCTTCCCTCTGGGCCTTCCAGATGGAGATCTGTGCAATGGTGCCCTCCTCTCGACCTCACCAGTTGCCCTCAAGTTTCCAGTGGCTGACATTGTGGACGTAGATCACCAGGCCTTTCTTCTGTGATGCCCCTGCGTGGACTCGAACCGCCAACCTTGTGGTTAGCACTTTGCACCACGCAGGGACTCCTCAGAGGACTGCCTTACAGCACGTCGGGGCGTGGCCACCATACAGCAGGGTGCTGAGGGAAGGCGTCCTCACCCAGCTGCTCAGCCCTCGACCCTCTCTGAGGTGGGTGACCTTGGCAGAAACTGGAACTTAACCAAACCAACCTTTCCGCTCTTCTCTCGGGTAGAATGTGTCATGGCTCCGCCTGAGCTGCCCCCAAGGAACATCCCTTTGTCTGCCGGGCCCTGTGAGGCCAAGGAGGTTCCTCTTTCAAGCGAGAACGCCCGAGTGCCGGAGTCCAGCAGGCCGACCCTCTCCGAGACGTTACTTCAACGGCTGCAGAGCATGGACACCAGTGGGTGAGTCTCTCACGGGCCAGCTTCCCGCAGGCGCCCAGAGCCAGGCTCTGGCTCTGCACTCAGGAGACACGTGGGCCTTCGCCCTGAAGGGAGTGCTGCTGTTAGTCCTTCGGCCACCGTCTCGGGTCAGTTTTACCAAAACGCACAGCAGCCAGTTGCTACCGGGGTGATTGTGACTCCTGGCAGCCCCGCGTGTGTCTGAGTACATCTGGGTTCCAGAGGGTTTTCAGTGCTGCTTGTTCAGAGGGAGGTGGCCAGGCCTCTCTTCCAAGGCACCTCTGCGTGGATTCCAACTGCCAGCCTTTCAATTAGCAGCTGAGCGTTAACCGTTTGTGCCACAGGGGACTTGCATTATGTTACTAGTGAGGTTGGATACTTTTTTGCATGTTTTCTTGGCCAAGATTATATGATCCCTTTCTCACCTTGTTTGTTCTTGTTCTTTGCCCATTTTTCCATCAGGATTTGGAAATTTCTTGATCACATTTCATTATCTCTTTACATTATTCAAAGAGCTTGGGTGGTGCAGTGGTTAAAGCACTCAGCTGCTAAGCAAAAGGTCGGTGGTTCAACCCACCAGCCGCTCTGGGAGAAAGGTGAGGCAGTCAGTCCCCTTCCATCAAGACTGACAGCTTTGAAAACCCTAGGGGACAGCTCCACTCTGTCCTCTAGGGGTGCTGAGTCAGAATTGACTTGAGGGCAGTGAGTTTGGTTTGGGCTTTGCTTGTGTGAAGATTGACAACCTTGGAAACCTTCTGGGGCAGTTCCAGTCTACTCTCTAGGGGTGCTGTGAGTTGGAATCGATTCAACGGCGGTGGATTTGGTTTTCAGTTTTATATTATTAGCCCTTGGCCCATCATCTTTGTGAAAACTGTCTCCTAGCTCATTGCTGACTTTGTAAGCTTTATTAAGTTTTTGTGTTAGTAAGTTTTAGTTCTTTGTGTAAGAGTATCCGTCCTACCCTTACAGTGGCAAAATGACTTTAATGCTTAGAAGCTGTTCTCCGGGCAGAAGTCGCCTCACCACCCACGCCAAGAGCTAACGTCCGCAAGCACCATGCTGAGGACTGCACGTGCTTATTTGATTGCGTTCTCCAACAGTTTGATACCATAGGTCCAGTTATCCCTCATCTTACATGTGAGACACTGGGCGCAGAAAGGTTAGCTTAGGACACCAAGTCAGGCCCAGGAAGTCCACCGTGACTGTCCGGGCTCCTGACCACTATGTTACACTCCAGCGCCTGTCAGGCCCCAGGAGGGAACCCGGAAGTTAGTATCTCGTTAGTGGGAGCGCAGGGCTAGATGGCAGTGCCCACAGGGGAGCCACCCAACGCACCAAGGGAGGGCTTCGCCCCGAGAGCTGGGGAGCCGAGTTATCTGGTGACAGAAGCCAGGTGTGTCTTTGTTCTCAAGTGTTGCTGTAACAGGAATACCACCAGTGGATGGCTTTAATGGACAGAACTTTATTTTCTCACGCTTAGGAGACTAGAGTCTCAATTGGGGGACCGGCTCTGGGGGAAAGCTTTCTCTCTGTCGGCTGTCGGGTAGGTCTTTGCCTCTTCAGTTTCTGTTTATTGGCTCCTTGGTGACCTTTGCGTGGCATGGCATCTATTTCCCCCATCTCCCTTGCTCAGAAGAGGAGGACTCAAGACATACCCTACAATACTTTGCCTCATTAACGTAACAAAGTCAACCCATCCCCAAATGGGGTTATAAAGCTGGTGTAGGGGTCAGGATTTACAATGTGTATTTGGAGGGACAGAATTCAGTCCCTGACAAGGGCCTTGTCCTGAGAGGGGTGCTAGTGGTCTTGCAAAGCAGAGGCCTTGGCATGGTCTTACAGACAGGGCGGGGGTGTGGTTTTACCCAGTGGAAAGCCAAAGGGCATGGGTGTCCCAGTGCCTCACAGGATGACCAACAGAGAACAGGCACTCACTCCATGTGTGTCAACCGAATTAGTAAGTTAGTAACATTTTTATGATAAAGAATTAAAAAACCAAGAAGCACTTGTTATTCTTGTTTCTCGGTGAGAAAAACCCCCAGAGGCATTCTTCACAACAGGGCTAAAGCTGCACCTCCGAGGCTGAAGGTCAGTGTGAGGATAGCGTCTCCTCGCTGACCTGGCAAAACGCAAACGGCAATTCCCGCAGGCGCACAGGAAGCCGCCCGGTTGCTGGCGCACCTGGTCTTTTCCTGTTTCCACCTCGGCACGGGCTTCAGGCTCACCGGGTTATTGTGTTCCTGGAATTACGGTGCCATTCACCAGCAGCTGACTCCCCAGTCTTCTAAAGATGCTCCTCCGTTGTCATGAGCATTCCTGTGTGTATCTGGACAACAAACGCGCCTGGAAGTGGCCTCTGTGGAGCAAGTGTCCCGTTTTCTTGGTGTCTTCCTCTCCTAGGGCGGTTGTAACAAAGTACCACGAAGTGGTGGCTTCCAAGCACAGAAATTGATTTTCTCACAGTTCCGGAGGCTGGGAGTCCAAATGTAGGGTGTCAGCCACGTTAATCCCCGCCGAGGACTTTGAGAGAGGAGTTGGTGCCGTTCTCCTT